AGAAAAGAATGGAGAACGTTTCTAAGAATCATGCGCGTATGACAAATTACATATCGCGGCGATATATAACGAGGGGAAAGAAGAACGGCAGGGTTAAATCTTCCTCGTGCGCGGAGAGATGAAACGTTTGAATAAAAAATGTGACGGGAATCAGGGAGAAGCGGGCGCACAGGAACGTGTCCTTGGCGAGGATAATTCCCGTTATCGAGGCACCGTTGCATTTTCGAGCGCAGATCGCAACCCCACGGTTGAATGCACCGTGGGAAGGGGTGGCGGACGGCGCGTCTGGTTTCCATGGTAACGCTGCATCGACCGCTCCAACCCTTCGAACCGGAGTTGTTCCGACGAGGGTAGAGTCCGCGTTGCCGTGGTAGTGGCGACGATGGTGGTAGTAGCGACGGTGGAGCGGAGGGAATCAAGGGGGATGGCAACCGCCCTTCGGGTACGGTAACCGTTGGTGCATCGCCCTTCGACGCAGCCCGACGGTGCGTGCTTCTCTACAGGGTGATCGAAAAGAACGTTCCCAGGATACATGAAAATAATCACGAAACAGGCAAAAAAAGAAAATTTCTCAAGTTTTCCAAAGTTTTCCTCTCAAGCGAACAAGTTACAGTTAAGATCTTATGATCTTTATATCGGTTATCGATAATTTGAAGTTCGAAGATGAGTCATAATATTCTACAAAAACGCATTCTACATCATTTTCCGGACGAAACTCTCTCGCAGATCTTTTTGATAAATTGATTCTCAGAGGCAATTTAAGTAATGCCTCATAACTTTATTTAAAACTTTAAGTCTTATATTCTCTCTCTTCTCTCTTGACTTTGAAGGGCTTAACTTGTCTTCCAACTTTGGAATATATATTTTCAATGAACGTGTCCTTGCAAAATCGTCTTCAAATTGGGCCGTCCGACTATTCACAGACAGAAATCTACCCTTACGAATTTACACTCGCCGAGGACACAAATGTCAAAGGTGTTCATAGCGCCAGCAAGAACTCGCCTCGAATCTACAAACCTGGGCGTATATTCTCGTATGTATTCCAGCCGGTAATTTCAATGTCACTGTCGGATGATTCTTCAGCCCCAAACGAGGGGAGCGATCGCCACCACCTGCCCCCACTACCCCCTCGTTTGATTAACGTTATTTTGCTCGACGGGCGAACATCGACCGCGATCGATACGCGGTGCGGCGGCGGCGGCGGCGGCGGCGGCGGCGGTGGCGGCGGCGGTAACGGCGGTGGTGGCGATGACGATGGCGGCGGCATATAGTCACGTTTGCGAGCCGAGGAACAAGGAACGAGAAACGAGATGAGACAGACGGAGCCGGGCGAAAAGGCCATCGGCCTGCGCCGCAGACGGATTGGTAACGGCCGCGGCGCTGCGGTTATGGGAAAGGTAGGCGAGCGAACGTGAAGCGAGCGTGATGGACGGATAGGAAGGGAGAAATTTATTATACCTCGGAGTCCCGCGCGCGAGCCTGCCCAGGCCTCGTATATTTAACAATAACGCGCGATACGCGCGCACGTGACAATATCCCAAGAAATATAGATATGGATCGAAGCGTTTTATGACCTTCCTAATGCTTAAGAGAAATTTCTACGTCTCTATGTAAAATGAAGGTGAAAGATATTTTAATTGGTCTGGAATAATTATTGTGGCACCGATTGAAATGAAGTAACAAGTTAAAATAATATCAATATTTTTATCAAGTTTTGTATATGAAGTAAATAAATAAAGAGCTGATGACGGAAGAGGCTGGATTAGCAAAATAATTAGGATAATTATTGTAATAAAAATTTTATGGGAAATATAAAATACAAAAAATATATAAAACTTTGATATTACGTGCTGTTAAATGGGAAAAAATATACTTTATATTTCCTCTAAGAGTGAAA